TAAATGGGTCGCCAAAGCTGCACTCTTTCATACTGCAATTTAGATGTAAAAACAATTAATCATTCAACCCTAGATGTGGCAGACACACATTAGGTTGAAAAACACTGGAGTATTCCTTTAAGGTTATATACAGTTAAAGGGCCCATAACCTACGTTTTTCTTGTATTTATTTTTTTTTGCTTGATGCCCACTTACAACATGTGTGTGGTTTAATGTCCCAAAACCATTTAGAATTCATTTTTAAATGACAATTTTCAAACCTCTCTTCATCCTTTAGAATTAAACGGGCTGTTTTTGCTACTGTGCCTTTAAAACTGGTATATGTAAATAACCTCTATTCTGATTGGCTGCCTTGTAATTATTCCTAATTCAAAAAGCAATCCAGGCTGACTCCTTATATCTTCAGCACAAATGGGCAGACCTAAACTGCTTTAGGCTGATATATGTGAACTAATTCAAAGGCAATGAATTCAATGAACAAGGCAATGAATTCAAAACAAGCTGTCTTTGGAGCTCAAAGTCCATAGATAGACTGTATAGAGAATGAAAGGTATATTTTGAAACCTTACTAATGTTTACACATAAAATCAAACTCTTTTATTTCAATTAAAAAAAAAAAACAAGGAAAACTTTCAGTATCGGTTTCGGTATCAGAAAATAATAAGTGGCATCATGACATCTCTAGTTAATATGCATTTGAGAAGGAAAGAACAATTTTCAATCTACACTTTAATGAGAGTCATCACCTGCCCATTAACTTCTATTTTTATTGTATTTAAAGTCAAAGAATTTTCCGTACATGGAAATTACGATTCTTGGTAATTGACCATATGTTAGAGATAAAGCAGATATAGTGGACACTTAAGAATATTACTTCGAAAACACATTAACTTTTTTTATAAGGATATCGTTTTGAAGATATGAGGCTGGTTTATGATAAGAGGGTGCAGGACAGCCAAAAAGTAGGTGGATGGTAGATGGCAAAAGGTGGGTTGAGCAACAGGAGCTTATGCTTTCTCTGCTTGAGGAATTAGAGGGCTGTCAGTCTGCTGGTGCTCTGAGGCGTGCTGTATCACTGGGAGCCTCCCAGGGGGACTGAGTGCAAATCAAACAGGCAGGATAAAGATAAATCAGTCTGTGGCCCACTAGCTATAAATAACCCAGCAAAAAACTCCCACTAGAACACACAGCACTTCACACCAACCACTCAGACAGGCACAAGAGCACACACGCAGGAGAGCAGCACGTGTGTGTGTGTGCACGTACACTTACATACATATGTATCTGCAAAAGTGTATTTGGATTTGTTTGAGGGTACGTGTTACCGTTAAGCTTCATCAGCTCGGAACTGTCTCTGCTGCCAAATGATCTCTTCTCTCATTTGTATGTAAACTACCTCATCATGTTGCTCTCCCTCTGTGACTGTCACACACAGTTTCTCCCTCTCTCTCCCTTTCTCTCTCCCTCTCTCTCATCTCCCTGCTCTGTTTATCTCTCTCCTTGCCTCTGTGGTTCGTCAAAACCTTTCCCGCTTTATACTTTCCCTCAGTTTCTCATTATGGCAGTGAGGGCAAACACATGGACGACAAGAGAAAAGCTGGAGGTGCCTGAATTACGTCAACACTTTAAAGGGCCGATATCATGGAAAACTATATTTTCATAGACTTTTATGTATCATATAAACATCTCTAAATAGTTTTCAATGATACCATTCATTCCTCATACAGTACATGCATTGAAACTTAGCATCAAAAACAGCCCTTTCTGAATTCACTGTTTTTGTGTTGTCACAAAAATGCACATATTTACATATATCGACCTATTCAGCCTACAGCAATTTAGCCCCGTCCATTCATGCTGAAGTAATAAGGAGTGTTTCAGCCAATCAGAACCAAGCTAATTTACCTCAGTCTTAAAGGCACAGTAACAAAACAGTCTGTTTAATTTTAAGGGATTAAGAGAGGACAAAAAATGCTTATGTATAAATGAATTGTGACTGTTTTTGGTACATATTATACGTGGATATCCAGGAAAAATTATAAAATGAAAGGATATGGGCACTGTGAAGCTGAGAGCTATTACTTTTTGTTCCTTGCTTTACTATTCATGTGACCTCTAAGTCTTTAGAACATGCTGTATTACCCCAAAACATCTAAAAGACCCCTTGTAGCAGGAGACATAAAGATCACTACAGCAACAATACAATAATTCCCTCCTTACGCAGTATTTTTCTCCCTCATTGCTCTCTCTCCTTTCACCTGCTCACCTACTCTATCCCTTCCTCACCTCCTCTCTCTGCTTCACCAACTGATTCTCTCTCGCTCTTTCTGTTCTCCTTTCTTGACTCCCCTCCCCCGAGCCATGTTCTTTGCTCTATGTTCATGGTAATGCCAGCGAACGCCTGTTGAGAGCGTGTTTGAGAGCCGTGCTTCAAAAGGCAGTTTTTATCCTGCCGTCTCTCTGGGCTCGCTCATCCATCTCCTTATATTTTAGCCTTTGATCTTTTTATAGCCGGAGCTTCCTGCCTCACAGATCAGTCCAGGTCCGTTTCAATGCTATTGCTTTGCCAGAATGTACACAGGTACAAGTCAGTGGTAACATGCTGCAATATTCTGCTCAGTCAGCAAAAGCAGGCCCAACAAACAGGAAATGTTTATGTATGGAAAAATCTCGGCGATTTCCCCAACACCAAAACATATACAAACTGATGGAAAACAATAGCGAACAAACGTTTGAGCTCATTCTATGGCTAGGGAAAAATAAACTGGACAACTCATTTATGACTTGGCTGAGGCACTTCAGCTCCACTTCTCTTGAGGAGTATTACATTAATAGCTGGACAGCAGCCACTTGGCTGAGTGGTCATAGCAGACCATCACACTCACCTCCAGTACTCGTCCGCTGATATATCTGTTGCAGGACTCACACTTTATTCCAAACTGGGCATGGTAATCTGATTCACAGTAAGGAATACCATCTCTGAAAAACAAGCAATAAACAAGCAGATTCATTAATCATACAAAAAGCAGACTAAGTGACATTCTTCAAGGAGATCACAAGATCAATATATATTCAGTGAGTTTTCAGTCAGTTAGGGATGGGAGGTGTACTGGTATAAAAGTGAATACCAGCAGTGTTTTGCCTACCATTAAGTGCCACCTGGCTTGGATGAGATTCAGACATTAGGATGTAACTGTCAGACTAACGTTCACAGCGTTCAGTTTTTATGTGATATGTGCTCATGTTTTGGCCAAAATGAAACTTTCAGTCCATTTTTAAATGTAAAGACACACTAATTAACTTATAAAGCCTTACATGGCCTAGCTCTGCCCTATTTATTTGATATTCTTAATCTTTACACCCCTGTTTGCACTCTCAGGTCATCTGACAGTGGCCAGTAAAAAAATTCAGACTGGTCACTGTTTGGGCAGATCCTTTAGTTTTATGGCCCACAAGCTATGTAAACTCTTTAACTCAATCTTTCCATCTCTGCTCTTCACCTGATGTTATACCTTTTTTGGTTCATAAAGTGACACTGGGTCAGTAAAATGCACTTTATGAACTGAAATTATTATTATTATTATTATTATTATTATTATCATCATTATTATTATTATTACTAAATTTAGATCCAAGGTACAGCACATATCTGATCATAGATACAGCAGTGTGTGGCAGAGATGAGCTGCAGCTAGCAAATTCTGACTCTTTAAGCATTATCTAGAGTTGGCCTTAATTACAACTGCACCTCTTCAAAATAAATGTAACAGAATAAAGAACTATATAAAGCTTTGTGGTTACTAAAGAAAAAAAGTAACAGATAGGTACCGGCATAAGCCAGCCCTCATGGTTTTAATATCAGTATTGGAAGAGGATTGTGCCATCTGTAGTCTTAGGGCTTCTTGTTCAAAAGTTACACGACAAACCCAAACCACAGCCTTATTCGTAAAAGCGGCTTTGGTATAATGCAAGAACTGTGGCTTTGATTCTGGAAATCAAAGTATGCCCCATTGTGCAGTAACACTCGGTAGGGTGCGTTAATTGGAACAAGGTTAAAACAGGTTAGGTCTCATATTCTCAAACCCAAATACATTTAACAGGATGAGTCGGATGTCTGTCTGCTCACTTGCTGATGTACTCTCCGGTGAGAACCATTCCGCAGGTCTGGCACTTAAAGCAGCTGACATGCCACTGTTTCTCCAATGCCAGGAGAGACTGGCCCTGCTTGATCTCTTCCTTACAGCCTGCACAGTCTACAGAGAGCGAGAGAGGGAGAGAGAGAGAGTGAGAGTGAGAGAGAGAGAGATGGAGAGAGAGAGATGGAGAGAGAGAGAGAGAGAGAGAGAGAGAGAGAGAGATTCATTAGCTGACAATACTTTCATGTGTTGCTTACATCTGTCTGGAAATAAATGTGAAGTTTATGGATGTTTTTCTGTTATGTTGTACTGAATCTACAGCTGCATGAACCTTGTGTCAGACTAAGCAATGGAAAGAAGCTTGAGTCAGGCTGTGAATTACAGCATTATTCATGAAAACTGACAGACATAGAATCCTGTAGTAGTTATAAACACTTACACACTTGCACACATACACACACAACTATGTGTGTAAGGTGGAAAGGGGTCTGAATCCAGGCTGGCGTTTGATACATGACTGCGGCAGGCTCTGGTGTACTGAAAGGTCAGTCGATCATTTGTTTTCATATGGGCTGTGTGCAGCTATGTGTAGCTTTAGTCACCCAGCACAGTGATCTGTTCTAGATTTTTCATAGTAGCCCTCAGTCACTGACATATATTAAAGGGCCAATATCATGGAAAAATTACATTTCCTCTCATTTTTGAAATAAAAGAGTCTGATGTGGTATGTGAACAAAGTTTTTATAATGTACCATTCATTGTTTTTGTCACCGTGCCTTTAAAACTGATATATGTAATTGTGCTGTGTCCTGATGTCACAAAACCAGTGCATTTACATGTATCTCTCTATTCAGCCTAGAGTGGTTCAGCCCCCCATTCACACTGAAGTTATAAGGAGTGTTTTAGTCCAGACTACTTTTTGAATCGAACACAATACAGGACAGCCAATCAGAAGACAGCACAAATACATATATCAGCACATATCAAGGCACGGTAACAAAAACAGTCTGCTTAATTCTAAGTGATAAAGATAGTTTGGTAGAAGTAATAAAGTTAGAAAAAGCCACAAGCACAAAAAAATGAATATGCTGATCTTCTTGGCCAAAAAATGGCCTGAGGCCTAATTTAAAGAAAATAAACATTTTAATTGCACTTGCAATGCTGGTCAGAAATTAGATATTTTCCACACATTAAGCTGCATCTGTAGCCTAAAGTGGATTTCCATGGAAAATAGAGAAAGAAACAAAAACATCTTTTGACTCAAAGCTGCTTCATAATAGGAGCCACTGGGCCATGGCTGAATTACCAGTATAGTGATGTGGGTGATGTTTTCACAGGCTCCTGCCTGATTGCACATGGAAAATTTTAGAAAAGCAAAATTGCTTGAATTGCTTGTTTCTGTTTTAAAGCTAAATAAAACTTCATAAAACAGCTTTGGTAAGACATTCTCATGTCTGTCTCATCCTAAGACCTGTACTGCTTAAATATAACAGTTACAGTTTCCAAATTTTTATCAAATTTGTAACATTTTCATATATTTTGAATGTATTTGCCCTTTGGCTTCTATTATGAATTTATAAGGTTTCAAGTCAGCAAATCATCTTTTTTTCTAAGCACAGAAATTATTGCCTGTAGTAATTAACCTTATGCTACAGAGGCAGTAAATGAGATTAGGTCAAAGAAGTGTAGAGCATTCCTGTAGAGTAGTAGAGTGTAGAGTATTCCTTTAATATTCTTTCTATATTCTCTCTCTCTCTCTCTCTCTCTCTCTCTCTCTCTCTCTCTCTCTCGCTCGCTCGCTCGCTTTCTCTCTCTACCCACATACTGCTTTCAGAAATGCTCCAGACCCCTCAGCCCTGAGTTAGCATAAGACATGACACCTGCTATCCTCTCCCCTCAGACATACACAAATGCTATACAAGCACATACAACAATACAGCCCTCAAGGAAACATCCACAAATTCATAAATTACATTGCTGATATCTTCGGTACAGTGCACTGCATGAACAGACACAATATGACCTTTTCACTGCTGATTTTTGCCATTTCACCTTGTTGGGGAGTAACCACAAATGATCTACAGTAAATAGAAAATTAGGGTTTTGCCTCTGTTGCTATGGCAATAAACGCCTTGATATGCCGTTTTAGGAGGATATGTCAGGGAGAAAAATACAGAGCAATAAACGAGGCACTCCATACACTAAAATAAAGACAATAGCAAGTTAACAATCAAAACTGATTCATAAACCTGTAAATTTAAATCCTCTCATTGTCTCTTAAACGCATACATATATACACACATAGTGACTGAACTCTCTCATTTAATGATCAATTCTCCATTGATCAGGATGAGCCTCCTCTAAACTGACTGCATGATTTAGAGGAGAGGTGTCTATCAGGGAGATCTGAGGCTGTGTGTGTCTGTATGTGTGTGGTATATTTATAGAACCCAAAGGATCAGCCCACTGTGCAATACACGCAACAATAAATGCAGAATAAACTCCACTGGAACTATAAAAGTCACTTCATTCATAAAACACGCCAATGTTTTGAGGAGGACTTACGACTTGGCCCATGAATCTTGATCGGCTCATTTGAAGAGACAAGCTTGTGAGAGCACTGTTGACAGACACACTCTTTGCCACTGAATGTCACCCTGTCTCCAATAGGAAAGGGTTTTCTACAAAGAGAAGAAAGAGAGAAAATGACAGAGAAAGTAAAGGTCCATCAAAAGATTTACATTAGACATACACTTCCTGAATAGAATAACACTCTTGATACTGTGCTGCTGGTATTGTACTCCTGGTAATTCTCTGGAAACAGCATCAGTTTTGAAAAACATCTATTAGGGCACATGTATGTATTTCTATAGCTATAGTTTGAAATGTCTATGTTATGTTTTTTGATGAGGTCAATCCTGCATTTCATTAGAAATCATATTTATCATGGCTGTCAAATCATAAAGATCATTAATAGCGTTTTGCGGGGTTAATTGAGAGTATTCACATTTATTTTATTTGTTCAAGCCTGACCCTAAAGATTTTTCCCATGCAAAAAGCCATGCATTTTAGCTATATGAGTGGACAAAATAAACTTCACCAGAATGCATTTATTACTTTCAACAGATCAATAACATTATTTTGATTGTGTGAACACAGAGTTCAGATGAACCTGGACATGAAAATCACATGATTTCCATAAGGTGAGCACAGTTTCCAGTTTCCATCACCAACATCCAGTGAGAGAAAGAATGGCTGCAAGTTCCAACCAATGAGTGATTCTTGTTACAGTGGGGGCTTTTGAAGAGAATTGTGGCTTTCCGCTTTGCAACTGCTTTTGTTAGTTTGCTGCTCATTGATTTATGCATAGGTCTTCGGCACACCCTGTCCAGTGTAGTCTGCTAAAGGTGTTGATGGTACTGCTTTATAAGATGTACTTTAATCAGAGGGTTAAAATCACAGATTCTATCATGGCAACACACACATATATATATATATATATATATATATATATATATATATATATATATATTATGCTATATATTTTAAGATCACATCCTTATGTAATATGTATAGAATCTGACAGCTTCAAAAGCACTGTAATGTAGTTATGTTATTTAAAGGTTAAAAGATATTTTACTGAATTGTACATTGAGGCAGAAAAACGTATCCTAAAGTTACTATTTTCACTTAATAGCTCTGATGCTAAAATGTGTCAATGCAAAGTCAAATAATAACTGCATAAACAAATGAGATGAGCAAGGGAACAGAGCAATTTAATCAAATGAAAAAGTCTGCACACATCAGCAGGCAGATGAGAGTTAATGTCCAGTTCAGCTGTGGCAGCAAGCCCAGTGGGGCCTCTTTAGGAGCAGAAGGCCCAGCCTGGTCATGTGATTGCCGTTAGAGGCCCACTGAGGGTCAGGTGACATTTAACCCTGAATAGTTGAGGCCTTCCATAGCCCTGTTTCTGCCTGTGCAGTTGCCTGACCTGAACACTTTAACTGTTCCATATACAGTAGAATTAAAGGAATCTCTATTTGCCACATCTGTAGCAACAATAATTTTGTGATGTGTTTCAGAGAACCTGTTGACTCAAAACACACTTATATGCCAATAGGTAATAAATTTAGCATCTGCACACTGGCTTCTTTTAAAACTGCGATTCAAATAATTTTTTGTAGGGTTAGAGTACACGGAAATATGTTGAAATTATCATCTGTGGACTGTATTCTACCAATGTGACAGACAGACATCAGACTGAAAAATGCTGGAGTATTCTTTTAAGACAGCAGATTGGACCTAAAAATAACCTTGCGCACAGTAGCCCAATGGCCTCCTCACTTGCCCCTTTTAAGTGAGACGAGTTGAAAAACACGTGGAGTGCTAATGGCTTGGCAGCATGGCAGGCGTTTACTGCTGCTGGTTTTGCTGCTTTTGCTGTCTGTGCCTGCCAAAACACACACACACACACTGAGTGTCCCCAAGGTTGGCCTGTACTGGCGCAAGAGCCACTGGGTGTATGAGATTAAGCCAAGCGACCAGCAAAAGACGACACAGCACAGATGTTTAATGGTCTGGTTTTACTGCATTCCTTTTCTCCAATGCACTTCAGCTATCCTTTCTTAGAGCAGTGCATAAGCACCTGTTTGCCTGGGTAATTAAAGAGGCTATAATAATCCAGCACGTCCACCTCTACACAGTAATCAGGCTGACTGGAAGCTTCTTCACTGGAGACAAATCCTATTAGAGGAGCCCACTCCTACAGCAAGTCTGCAATTATAAAGCAATCCGTTTACACTCAACCATGACCTGAGCATCACATCAGCTCAGACCTTGAAGCAGGATTACTCTCTCCAGCTCCTTTAAATGAAATGTCCAGTAATGGCCCTGTTCTACCGCAATTGTCCCTAATTTGAAAAGTCAACTGGCATGCACACACACACAGCACAAGATGCCAAAGGCACATAGCACATCTGGAGCCACCTGGTAGTGTTAGGCATGACCGCACATTTAAACCATTACCATAACACAAACTTAAGGATGAGCACACATGCACCTGCACCCCACATGCGCACACACACACACACACACACACACTCATCAATGGTGAAACCAGAGTTTCATTTTAGGTGTGGGTTACAGGTTGGGAGGCCAACTAGGGAACATTAAAACAGAGACATTGAGAGAGGATGACACACACCAACTAGCCTACTTCATTATAGCTTATTTGTTAAGAAAATGATACACCCAAATGACTGAAGACTGTGATTTTCTTGTAATTTTAATAAAATCATTGTTTTCAATTATACAAAACCATTTTTGTTGCAGGTATGTATAAAACCTTTTGGTATTAAGATGCTACAACTCTGAAAATTCACAGTTTTCAACTAATCTGTAGGAAGTGTTAAAAAATGTAGAAATTTCATGTCTACACACTTCACATAATGCATATTTATCCTCTGGCTTTGATTTCTCAATGCAATTATGACATTCCATTCAGGAGAATTTCCAGTAACACTTTATTTGGATAGTCCACTTTAGATGCTTTGTAGATACTTAATTTATTTTCAAGTTACATTCAACTAAATATCTACTAAATTGACCATACTTTTCTTTAACTCTAAACCTGGCTCTAATCCTAACCCTAACCTTAACCTCAACCCAAAACCTAAACCCAACCCTCACCCTGGCCCTAACCCAAACCCTGGTCCAAATCTTAACCCTATCCCCACCACTGTTTAGAATCAACACTGTTTAGAGTTTGAACAGATAGTTTGTTAACAGTTTGACCATCTGTACATAATCTATAGGGGACTATAGTGGGCTATCCAAATAAAGTGAGATTGAATTTTCTGTTATATGGGTGTTTAAATGCTAGTTGACCCTTCATTAGTAATATTAGCCTGTTTGAACGTGGTGTACGGAATGTGCTCTTTAATTTGACAGGTTTTTTTTGACCAATAGCCCTGGGCAGTGCATAGCAAATAAGCAGCTCAGTGCAATATTAGCTCTTTGTGTGATGGCACTGCATAGCAAACCAGAACTTTATGAAACCCTGTTTTCTTTTTTTTTTTTTTTGAGAGAGAAAGAGCGCAACATTTTACATTCACATGAATACATGCAAAACCATGTACCTCAGTGGTAAACCATGAGTCTTGACAGCTATGTTTGTGATGGCCAAAAAACTACTGTTACAGAGCACATACCTTCTGGTGTAAAAATAACTTTTTATTGGTAGTGTACATAATACAAGTTTTTTTTCTTTGCACATCAGGTAATACGCGTTCATGCATGCACTTGTCTTTGGACAGGCGGTTTACATATGTGTGTGTGTTCTCTAGGTGACCTTTTTATTACCTGCCATGTGAGGCTCCCCTTAGACACCCTCTGCAATGTCAGCTTTTTCTTCACTTTAAAAATTTACTCTGTTTACATATTTAATGGACACTGCCTCTTTCTGTCCACAAATGCCATGCTGTTTCAGTCTCTCATGGCCACATACATCAAAAACCTTTATGAAAAATATCTTAACATGGGAGAACGCCAATGTCTACTAATGTGTAAACAAAGAGTGGTCTCTTAAAAGCATTGGTCATATAAAACATGGACACTAGGACCCAATTTATGCATATTAAAGCAAATGCTCGTGCATAAAAAACACTATGAGCAGTAGTCAAGTCAAAACATTATAGTAGGCCTGCAGTAGCATTTCTGAAGAAGCAGCTTTATTTCGGTCCTCATGGTTTAGAAGCTTACCACTAGCTAGCCGTCCCGCTGCTTGTTACTGCATGGTCTGGCTGATAAGAGTTTTGTAGGCTACTCCTGCCAGGAACACCCCATTGAGCTCCTTAGTGCCCAGTGGCAATGGCTTCTGTAAAGCAATCCCGGCCCCCTCTTGGCAAATGGATTTTCCTCTCCGTGTACATTCATCAAATGCTAATTTCTCCCTGTTTGCTAATGGGAGGAAGTATTAAAAGGGGCTATTTAGTGGAACTAATTTCCTGCAGAACTGGGCTGAAGGCATACACTGTAACTACAACAGGAAGATAATAGGCCCACATTAACTGGTTCAAAACTGCCAGAGCCCAGGGAGAAGTATTCAGGTTTGTAACATTTCTGAGAACGCATGGAGGAACAGCAAGAGAGAAAGGGGACAAGAGAGAAAGAGAAAATTCAGTCACTGAAGGTTATCTGCCAAAGCGAGTCAGCCAAAAAGCCTTGGAAATAGGCTTTGCATATGAAGAGCAGAAGCTATCAATGTAGCTCAATATCCAGTTAGATTAGGTCTGTTTCCCTCATCTCAAAGGAAATGGCCATTCTGCAAGATGCAATCAGATTTGAGTAATGGTGCTGCAGTGTTTGGCAGGCAGGTAATGGAGCAGAAGAGTGAAGGCACAGAGTGCTCCCTACATGGGAATCTCTCATTGTGCTCCTCATTCTTCTTCTGTCAGAGTGACTGTGGCTCAGAAAGAGAGGAGGTCCATCGGAACACTGCTGTGTTTTACTTTCACCCATCTCTCACAGTGACCAAAATCAATTCAGATTCAGTCTCTGACCACTTTTATCTCTCCAGCTGAGCTGCTCTTATATATTCCCCTAAATGTGTACTCCAGTGTTTTTTGGCCTAAACCTTTTTGACCTAAACTGCCTGCCACATCTATACTATGAACAATTATTTTGACACATGATCATGACTGATTGCACATGGAAAATTGAGGAAAAAGAGAAAATAACCTGAACTGCTTTTTCAGTGTGCTGGTCCAGTCTAAAAGCTGCATAAAACTTCATGAGAACATAAGCTTTATTTAGACATTCTGATATGTCTTAAGCCCTGCAGTACTGTGCAAAAGTCAGAGAACGCCCATCATTTTATTTAATTAAAATGACCATTAAGTAAAAGTTATTCATTTTTCAGTGACAGAAAAAAGCTGAAACAACAGAATATTTTAAAGAATATCTAGCAGGAAAATAGCCAAAAACCTCAACAACTAAAAATAGCATATTTTCCTTATAGATGAAAGCATTAAGTACTGTTTACATGATGCCGACTGTTTTGGTAGCCTACCAGGTCTTGTGCAGTTATTAAGAGTTCCATTTTCTGTATGCATTTTAATAATTTTGTGGTCACTGACAGCATGGTACACAAGTGACAAACAGAGATAAGCTTAAAAAACGCTGATGGCCTCTTTTAAGTCTTTTCCTGTTCTAGTGCCTCTCTCTTCCTTGTCCTCCCCTCCTCATCCTTAAGTGTCTTTTTGTGGTGTCTACTCTTCCTCTTTCCATGCAATCTGATCTTCCTGCTGTTCTCTCCTGCTCCAAGCGCAGTTTCTGCTGAACCAGCGTGAGAGTGGAGGGTCTTTCAAGGGGATTGTTTTTTCTTAGAAGGGGTGAAGTTATACATTCAGACTCAAAAGCGAGTTTGTGTACATGCCTGTGACTTTATGTGTGAGTATATGAAGGAGATACAGAGAAAGAGAAACATTAAAGGAGAACAATTCTTTCACTAATCTCACCTAAAAACAGGGACTTTTTGTGTTTCTTACACATAACCTCGGACATAACCTTTGACAGTGGAAGACTACTTAGAAGTTAAAATGCTGCGAAAGTAATTCCTAATACATTGCCCTACTTCCCGAAGCAAGGGAGCAACAGTAAGTGGCAGGGAAAGCAAGGCTTTGCTTTTTCTTTGCTGCTCTGTAGACATGCTCCATCAAATCCTCTAATTTCAAACGTTCCACTGGAAACATTCCTAGAGGACAGAACCCTTTTAACCTCAAACCGAGCAGAACATCAAAACCTACATCCCTTCTGCTTTCAGGCCTTGTTTTGCATTCTGACAAAGCTATCTGATCCACTGCAAGATGTAGAGTATTAACAATACATATAAAAGGCTCAGAGGTCTATGTGTTAATGAGTACCAGACATCAGCCTAGAATTCACTGTACAGCTGCAGAACTTACTAGCAACGGAAGCTGAGCTCACTGAACTTTTCCTCTCTTTTAGCCCTTCCTCACTCTTAATGTTCCTTAGGAACACTTTCTCTAATGATTCTTTACAGTCTTTTCTGCAGTATACAGAAGTATTTGCTATATGCCTGTGAGTAATAATGTTTACAGCAGAAATCGGATCCAGTCAGATGATGTTAATGATAGTACTAGCAAATCCCTCTAAATGCTCCAAATTGTTGAAGCCAAGAAAACGTAATTAAACCTAAAATAAATGACATTAAAAAGGCTTCTATTCCTCTGAGAAACATGGTGTGGTTCAATTTGTTCTGCTGCATTTTCATTCAGGGGTAAGAACAACTAGTAGATATCCACTCTAACATGTTAAAAGGCCATTAAAGGGATTGTTCAATGAAAAATCTATCTATCTATAAATAGCCCAAACGTAGTCAATCAGCCAAGACATTGGGTGTACAGAAAATTTACCAAAAATATTCAGTTTTTAAGGGGAAAAAAACAGAATTCCACCAATTTTAAAAGTTATTGAATAAGTAAATTATTTTGATATAAACAAAGACAAATAATCCAATGGCCATGTCGAAAAAGACGATAATCCCTGTTTTCGGAAACGAACTGAGAGAGAAATAGAGAGGGCTAATTTATTGTTACACAGTTCGTAAATATGTTGGGAAATTGGGGTTCCCATTTAAGAAGTGTGTGGGTGCACTCCCCAGTATTTATATCTGTTTAAGTGAGAGAGAGAGAGAGAGAGAGAGAGAGAGAGTAAGATTAATTAAAAAGCCACCTGTTGTCTCTACTGCGCGCTGTAATGCTAGCTTTACCGCATGGCTTCCTCTTCTACTAATTTTATATTACATTAAGTGTAGCTTAAGTGATTGGAATTCAAATAAATGCAGGTGTACTCTGTAACTTCAGCTTGCCTCAAAATGATTCGCTGCAGTAAAAAAAAAAATAATAATAATTAAAAAAAAAAACAGCTAAAGTGACAGAATACTACCCTAAGGCCTTTAACCTGGAGAAAAAGTTCTTCTGATCCCTGTCTACAGCTGGTGTTCTCAGAAAAAGGTAATAAATAATATTTAATAATGTACGCATCATGTTTTCACTTTTACTGTTAAAATATTCTGCTGTGTAAAATTTGCTGAGTAAAATTTGAAACTGATGGTTAGCTGAATTAAGACAATGCCACCGTAATTGCAGAAATGGAAAGCTGGAAAAAGAAAATGACTATATTTGTGTTGTAAGTATCGTGTCTGGTTCCTGCCACCACCACTGTAAAGAAATCCAAGTCGGTAAGTTTTTTACAGGGACAAATTTCACATGAAACCACTCAGAAGGACTTTACATCTCAACCACTGAATTACGCAGAAAGTTCCCCTTTAAGACGGTTGTTACTACTGTTTTTAACTATGCAAGGTACTTTTGACCATTTTTACAGATACAGTATCAAAAACCGCATAAGCTAGTCTGTGATTTTACCTAACAATTTGCAGTTTAAGGCAAGTGTGGTATGATTTAGGAATGCAGTTTGCCTCCATTAATTGATAGCTACATTAGCCTCATAGCTCCAGAGCACAACTAAAGAAAGGACATGTTTTGGCTGATCAACTTCACATGTGTAAAACTATTTATATTAGATCTTTTTAAATTGTGATTTTGTAAAGAAGATGTAAGAGTTTTTCTCTTCCTGGTATAAAAATAAAAGTCTCACCTGCAGACGCTGCAGACAAAGCACTTTGGGTGGTATGCACGGCCCAGCGCTGAGACCACCTCTCCTGTGATAAAGTCCCCACAGCTGTCGCACTTCGTACCGTACAGTCGCTGATAGTCTGCCGTGCAGATGTACTCGCCGCTCTTCTGGAAGAATCCCGAACGAGCCAGGTCACAGCCACACACTGTGGGTAAAGAGAGAGAGGGAGCAGAGCTTCGGTATTCAGGACTGTGTAAACCAGGGGTGCCCCAATAAAGATTTTTTATGTTTTTGAAAGGCAACAATAATTTTACTAATTTGCTCTTAACAGATTAAACGAATGTACTTACATGAAACACACAAGCTTGTGCACTCAATAAAGGGCACACATTACAATTTACTGCAGTGAAGTTTTATTTATTGGTATTGCTAAAACTAAAAATCAGTTTTGTTGTGTGACATACAAAGACAACATACTGATGGGGATCGCTCAACATACCAATACTAAGACTTTAATACAAATTCCTCAGCAATGTCTTTGATTCTTTGATGCAACCAAAAGTAGGTGGAGCTTAAACCACTAATGAACGTGAGGTGCTGGAAGTGGTTTTATTTACTGATTTAATTTTTTACTGACATTATTAACATGCTTACAGAATGTAACATAGACAGCCAGTCACCAGTGTAGGTTTAGAAACAAGCAAGCCTATTGGCTCATGGATGGTGATAAGATAAACAATTGAAATTTGGAATTGAATGACATGGAAATTCTGAGACTTATAAAGTCTATAAAGCCATAAAGCATCAAATTTCGATATCCAGCCCATTCCAATACTTTAAATTGTTTGCTGTCGATTAACCCAGCACCCACAGCATTTAAAATGAACCTAGTTGGTACTATGTATAGCACTGGGTAAAAGTCAGAGACCACCCTTTCATTTAAGTCATTTCCAGTCTAAACACCATTGAGTAAAAGTTATTCATTTTTCAAAAAAAGCAGAAAACATACGCAACAAAAGCCTCTACAACAAAATATAATATCATTTTTTTTAGTATTTAGTGTGTACAACCTTTTCCCTTATTACAGTCGTCATTCTTTTCAGGGACTTACTTTCAGTTTTTCAAAGAAATCTGCAGGGATATTTTTTTTCATGCTTCTTGTCAACACCTTCAAAGTTGAGCTACAGAAGTTTGCAAATTCAGACTAATCAGTCTATAAAATTTTACTTCACATCTCAGATGTCCAGTTTCTGTGTTGTGGTGCAAACAGACTTCTCTGTCTCTTTTCTCTGTAATGACTTCTTGACAGCTACACATCCTTTCAGACCCATACACTGTTAGAAATAAAGGCACTGTGCAGGTACATTTTCGTACCTTCAAAGGTACAACAGTGTTTTTTAGGCCCAACGTGTATATAACCTTAAATGACTTTTTTGCCAGTGGAAAAATACATGTTTATACCTTTTCATAACCTAATGTTTTAAAACAAAAGAATAAAATATAAAAGCATGTGAATGAGATGGGTTGTTTTCAGTCAATACAATTTAGAAAATATAATGTCAATGGATTATGGTACAGTTATGTTCCCTGACTAAAGGTACTAAGACGTTCCCTTGAGGGTACCACCCCAGTGACAAGAGGGGTACTGCCCCAGTGACAGTTCCATACCTTTTTTTCTGAGAGTGTAGTGTTGTCTTCTCACAGGATGGACAGACACACTTGTGGACTTTTGCAGATCTGAAGCAACAGTTGAGCTTAATTTTCTCCTCTCTCTCAAAAATGAAAACTTTAAGTACTTTTTATTTGATAGTGGTAGTTTTGGTAGTCCTGCACATAGTTAGGAGTCCCATTTTCAATTTTTCATTTTAATTACTTTTTAATCTCCAGATTTGAAAATTTCTGCTTCTTTACTTATGTTCCTTTGACTTTGCCCTTCCTTATTTTAAGTGGACTATCTTATATCTAATGTCCTCAGAAGTGTCTTCTCTAGTTATTTTAGATTCACATGAGAAAGAAATCTGCAAGGCAGCTAAGGTGTGTTTGGGTAGTTGCTTAATGTCTCTCTAAAAGAGAAAATAATGTCAGTGACACTTTTAGGAACAGCTTTTGTTGGGAGGTCACTGGTTTTAAAATTAGAAGGATGAAATAGTTTTAATTGGCAGTAGCTGCAGGAGAATAAACAATGAACAAATTAAATACTGATTTGATATTATACTTAGTGTTTTGGGAATTTGTGTAATTTTCTGTTAAATCTGCTTTTTTCTGAGACTCAAAAATGAATAACTTGTACTTAAAGGCTGGTTTGACTGGAAATCAAATAAGTGAAAGCTGGTCTCTGACCTTTGCACAGTACTGTACATCATAAAATGGTAATGCAGATGACCAAAATAAAAATAAATAGTTGTCTGTTATAAGGCGGCACGGTGGTGCAGTGGGTAGCGCTGTCGCCTCACAGCAAGAATGGCCTGGGTTCGATTCCCGGCCGGGTGACCAGGGTCGTTTCTGTGTGGAGTTTGCCTGTTCTCCCCGTGTCTGCGTGGGTTTCCTCCGGGTACTCCGGTTTCCTCCCACAGTCCAAAAACATGCAGTCAGGCTGATTGGACATGCTAAATTGCCCCTAGGTGTGGATGTATATGTCTGTTTGTCTGCCCTGCGATGGACTGGCGACCTGTCCAGGGTGTATCCTGCCTTCCGCCCGATGACAGCTGGGATAGGCTCCAGCACCCCACCGCGACCCAGAAGGATAAGCGGTTTAGATGATGGATGGATGGATGGATAGTTGTCTGTTATTTTCAACCCTTTGCCCTTATGTCAAGGCAAGCTGCTTTCACACAGACAGTTAACAGTTGTAGAACCAATTATACTTTATGAAGGCCTCTCTCTCCTTTGTGCTCTGGCCATGATTAGATTCTTCTGTGAAGTCAGGCAGACAGAGCATCCGCTTTGAATTACAAGCAAAACATAAACAATGTTTTTCACACATGGAGGAGTGTTCGTTACCAGTAAAGCTGAGAAGTGCAGATGTGTCAATTTGTGCTGATGCGAATGTAATCACTGGAAAATTCATCTGAGCAAAACGAAACAACAGGACTCACGCTGCACTTTCTCATTAGGAGTTAATGATGTTCCTCCAAGTGGCCTTTTCCCTTCTCAAACACGTCTGTGACAATTGTTTTCTCTTTAAACTATCAGCTAACAAAACAAACAATACTGAACACCTCAACATATTCATAGGAGAAGTAGTCCCCAAAAGCATGAAATTGGCAATTTTTTTCATTTCTTCATAATAAAACTGTTACGCTGTAAGTAAAGTCATCCAGAGTGGTTTGATGTGAAATGAGTTTTTTAAATTTACCAAATCAGAATTGTTCACAGTGGTAGTTCCAGCAACCAGATGTCCAATGAGTTTAATGGCTTTAAAAGCTACCACACAAAAAGTTAGTACTCCACGCTGCCTGATGCCTGAGACATTGTTTTACAATAGTTTTAAGATAAAGTTTTGGCCTAAATGTATTTTTAAAATGCAGAGATGTACATTCAGGCATTGAAAGCCAAAACCTCTTTTTGGAAACTTTTTTTTTCCAGAGGCATGTAGGAGGATTGCTTTCAAAACACACACCTTCTGAGTTTTCACTCAAAGATTCTCTTAACCGATATCCACTGCAGATTTCTCTAGTATACCATTTCAGCATGGCTGGTTATGTAACACCACATTACCTGCGATGGCAGCTTAAACCAGAGAAAATAACCAGGCTTTGTGGTCAGAAACTTTGTTCTTTGTCAGAAGGTAATTTTGTTCACATGGTGTGATTGTTCTTGGAATAGTCTGGTAGTTTTTGCCATAGATCTAATACATCACATGTTTATAGCCTATAAATTGGTTCTTGTTAAAATAATAAAACTGCTAAAGCTTAACAATGTGAAGTAGCCTAAAGGCTAAAATTAGTGTAGTTAAGCATTGTCCTTTTGTTTTGAATAACTGATGTAAGCCATTCTGTGTGTGGAAGGCTTCTGCACATCTTCAGTCTAACACGCATAACAACAGGTGGGGAAAAAACTCTCCCCTTGACCTTGCACTGCCACAGAATATTGTAAAGCCAAACAACATATCAGGACATTGACTAACGTTACACATTAAAAGAAAACAGGTAAAAAGGAACCCGAAGGCTCTATTAATAATCCATTGTTTTAACAGTAAAAAGGAATAAAACATTAAATGTATATATTATTTAATACTAATTAGCAAGCTGTTTAAAGTTAAATCAGTCCTCTCTAGTTCTCGGCCAGTTCTCTTTCCCAACATGGCAATCTTCACTTTTAAAGCATCATCATCGACTTCCTTATCACTCGTTGCTGATATACATCACCCTATCGCTGAGGCCACGTTCTATATAACTGATACAGCACATGAGCAGGTCATTCTGTCTCAGAACGTTGTCTACTGCCTTCTGGCTAGTTCAACCAGAATAACAGCAGTGGTAGCATGCTGTACTTGACTTCCAAAGAAACCCAACCTGTGGACTTAATAGACTGTACTTTAAATCTTGACCTGTACATGTGAAATGTGACACGTTAGCTGACATAACATTCCAAACACATACACATGAAAAGCACACGCAACGCAAGAAGAGCCCTTAGTCTGCAGTGAGCCAAATATATCCCATCTGACTTCGTGACTCAGCACAGTGTTGAGATGCATAAAAGAGAGTGCGAGATGGAAAGAGAAACCCAGAGAAAGTGCTGTGATTGCATAATCTGCTTTAAAGACACTTAGCGATCATCATGCTCTGTGAAAAACAACATACTCACTTACAGAAGGTCTGCCAATGGGCCCTAATTGGATTGTACTCTATAGACTGCATTTTACACAGTGTACATATGGAAGCTATCAGAGTACAATGATGCTTGTAGGATGCGGATTAGAAATGAGAGGAAAAAAAAGAATGGAACATAGTACTGCAATATTTTGGGTAAAAATTATCAGTGTTTTATTACTTAATTATTAAAGTAATGAAATAGGAAAGAATGCTGCTGTCCGTGCCAGAGTTTGGGTTTTGGTGACATCTTTTTATCTTTTTAATTTGGTTTGGTTGGTTTCACACTGCAACGACTAAATTGTACTAAATTACACATGTGGGTGTTTGTTTACTGGTCAGACATTTTGCAGAGATACAAGTGCTCTGCTAGTCTCACCATGAAAATATA